GAGATGCTGAGAGGGGCAGCAGTTCTTTTCAGGATAACCATCAAGGTAGAGATAAAGTAAAATAAAAAGAGTTGTGTCTTCTGGGGCCATTTAGTATTAAAGCACATAATCATAATGTCACACCTCAGTAACCCCCTAGTCTTCAGTTTCATTACAGCTTGGTATAATAAGGGATGTTCATAAGAAAAGAAAATGAGGACCAACAGGTGATGGTAGCTAATGTGCCTGATTCCACATAGCTGAATCTGTAGTTCAAGTCCTAGACCTAATAGCTTGAGAAACCCCAGGCACATAGGTGTGGCCATCCCTGCTGGGGGGCAACTTCTCACTTTCTCGTGTTCTGTGTTTCTCGCCAGTGAACACACATGCCCTCTGGCAAAAATCTAAAAAAAGAATTAAATTTTATTTACTTGATTTTAGGAGATAGGGAAATAATCTGTTCTAGGAATATTACCATCTAAGGGAGTGTTGATGCTTAAAGAAGGGAGAAGCCCTAGTTACCTGGAAAATTTATACATGTCAGAAACCCTTTGCACATTCTTGTATTGTGAATGCTTAGAATATTATATGTATTGGGACCAGCAGATGGCATAATGGTTATGTTGCTGGACTCCCACAATGGTCAACCACAGTTCAAGTTCCGGACCTGGTGGCTTAAAACTCAAGCCAGGCACGTGTGCGTGCATACCTAAAATCACAAGAGAATGGAAGAGAAGGGATTGTAGTGTGGCCATCCCCCCTTGGGGGTGGTGATTTCTTGCTTTCTGTTTCTCTGTCTCTCCAGCGAGCACTCGCGCCCTATAGCAAAAATCTCTTTGAAAATAATATATATATCATACCCATAAATAGTGGTAGGTCCCCATTTTAGTTCCACTTATAAGGAAATCTATTGATAACCTGCCCTGCTGCCCTGCTGTGAGCTTAGAAAGTTAATCAGTTGATGTCCTTCCCTGAACTTGGGATTTTAAAGACACACTAAGCACCCTCTGGGTGACTGGTACCGAGGAAGAATAGGTATGGTTCCTGTCTTTATGAAGATTTCATCCAGTTGGAAAAAGGGATAGTAAACAAGGTAATTTCAAATAGTGGCCTGCTGTGAAGGAACTGGAAGAGAGCAGTGCACTAGGGCCTGGAAAGTGACAGGTAGGGTTGTTACTTAGATATGGTGGCTGGGGAAGGTCATGATTGAACTGAGACAGAATGGAGAAGAAATCAGCCACAGGGAAGAGCTGACAGGGTAGAGTCCTGGCAGTAGGAATAGCAAAGTGAAAGGCGCTGAGACGGTGTTGAGCCATCCGTGGTGTTTGAGAAAGAGAAGGGGAGAGCCAATGTGTCTGGGAATAGGTAAGGCCAGTGAGTTGGGGCTGACACGGGAGAGCAAGGCCAGAGCCAGAGCATGGCCAACCTTGAAGGTATTTTGAATCCTTATTATAACCCCCTGTAAGATGGGTGGTTCCAGTTGTTCCAGTTTTACAAAGGAGAAATGCAGGTCCAGAGAGGTTGCATAAGGAATATGGATTTTCTCTGTTCTGCACTGGGAAGTCATTTGATGGTTTTAGCAGGGAGTAGTAAGATTCATTTGCATTTTTTAAAGAATTATTTTATTTAACTTTTATTTATTTATTTAAATTTGACCAGAGAGGGATAGAGTGAGAGAGAGAGAGAAAGTGAGAAAACAAGCCACCAGGTCCAGGACTCAAACCGTGGTCATCCATGTGGAATTCCAACACCATTCACCACCACACCACCTGCTGGCCCCTTATTTGCATTTTTAAAGGCACAAACACCTCTAAGAGCCCTTCTGAAAGCAAGTACAGAGGCCTCACGTGTAATACCAGTAATTTCAGTAGTGACTACTATTTGCTGTCAGGTCTGGGATTTGAACCATGGTTGGCCATATGGGGAGTCCAGCACATTAACCACCATGCCACCTGCTGGCCCCATACGTGCAATTTTTATTTATTCACAGCACATTTCACCGAGGAAGAGATAGTCTCAAATGTTTAGTGCCAAATTAGTAAAGGGAAGGGATTTAGTGCGACAAGGCTGCCATGGGCAAATTGGTTATCATCATCTCTTGCATAGATTATTCCAGGAGCTTTTTATTTAGTCTCCAGCTCTTATCCTTGCCCACTTTTTTCCTGACACACATACACAGTCTTGACACGGTGACCCAAGTGATCTCAGTTAAAACTCGTCAGATTGAGTCACTCTCCTGCTCAAGTCTCTCCTGTGGCTCCCTAATTTGCAGTGCATCTACTCTTCCCTTCACTGTTGCAAGCACCCTGGCAAGTAGCTGCCCTGTAAGCACGCTGAGTAGGTGTCCAGATCACTCCACTGCTCTTCCCCCCACCACTGTAGCCAGAGCACAGGAGTACTCTGAGTGCCTCCCACCTGGTCTCCCAACACTCTCTCCTTCCCAGAGTTCAATCTCCAG